ATGTTCTCTCGAGCTCCCCCTTCCGCTCTCTAAAATAATTTTTTTTTTTTTTTTAATTCTCAGGTGAGGATTTAAAAAAACCACACTGATGGCAGGTGCAGAATAAGGTACAGCATGATAGAAAGAAAAAAGCAATACTGTACTTGGAATGTTGAAGTAGGTCTTTATCAACAGATATAAAAATAGTGAAAAAGGTGTTGAACGGAGTATCAGGTACTGCATGATACTGTCAATGTAATAAGAGCATACACGTGTATATATATATATGTGTTGTATGTTTTCTATGGTCCATGTTTGTGTACTAAAAAAAAAAAAGATCTGGAAGAATAAACATCAGTGATTACCCCTGAAAAGGAAACAGGGGACTCAGCATCGGGGCCAACGACACACAAGACTTTAGATCCATGGTCGGTAAACTGCAGCTCTCGAGCCACATGCGGCTCTTTGGCTCGAGTGTGGCTCTTCCATAAAATAACACGGCGTGGGCGAGTCTGTTTTGAAGAAGTGGCGTTAGAAGAAGTTTAAAAAATTTGGCTCTCAAAAGAAATTTCAATCGTTTCTGTTGATATTTGGCTCTGTTGACTAATGAGTTGGCCGACCACTGCTTTAGATTGACCTGTAATGTTCCAATTTTTAAAAGAATAATGATTATTGTGTACTTTAAAAAGTAATTCCTACTTTATTTTCCCTGCATATTTCATTTTTTAAAAAAATATACTTTATTGATTTTTTACAGAGAAGAAGGGAGAGGGAGAGAGAGCCAGAAACATTGATGAGAAACATCGACCAGCTGCCTCCTGCACCCACCCCACCGAGGATGTGCCGGCAACCAATGTACATGCCCTTGATTGGAATCGAACCTGGGACCTTTCAGTCCGCATACTGATGCAACAGGTTTCGGTCATATTTCATTTTTTTAAAAAAATATATTTTATTGATTTTTTACAGAGAGAAAGGGAGAGAGATAGAGAGCTAGAAACATCGATGAGAGAGAAACATCGACCAGCTGCCTCTTGCACATCCCCTACTGGGGATGTGCCCGCAACCAATGTACATGCCCTTGACCGGAATCGAACCCGGGACCTTTCAGTCCGCAGACCGATGCTCTACCGCTGAGCCAAACCGGTTTCGGCCATATTTCATTTTTTGAAGTTAGATTTATTGAGGTATAATTTACATACAGTAAATTCATTTAAAAAAATTATTTTTTTAAGAGACACACACACATCTATTTGTTGTTCCAGTTAATTATACATTCATTGGTTGATTACTGTATGCGCCTTGACCAGAGAATTGAACTGTAATCGTGGTGTATAGAAACACTAACCAACTGACCCATCGAGCCAGGGCCTTCACTTTTTTTTATCTTATACTTCAGTGAGTTTTAACAAACTCATAGACATTTGTCTGTTATCACAATAAATCAAAATATCAAACATTTACATCCCTCGAAAAGTTCCTTTGTCTCCTTTTCTAGTCACCCCCTCCCCCGATTCCCAATCCTGATACCCACTGTTCATCTCTGGCCCTGAAGTTCTGTGGTTTGTTTTTTTAAATATACTTTATTGATTTTTTACAGAGAGGAAGAGAGAGGGATAGAGAGTTAGAAACATCGATGAGAATAATCCATCAGCTGCCTCCTGCACACCCCCTACTGGGGATGTGCCTGCAACCAAGGTACATGCCCTTGACTGGAATCGAACCTGGGACCTTTCAGTCTGCAGGCCGACGCTCCATCCACTGAGCCAAACCGGTTTCGGCTGGCCTTGTAGTTTTGCCTTTTCCAGAATGGCATAAACATTCAAAGAATGAAACCACCATTTGCAACATAGATGGACCTATAGGGTAAATATTATGCTAAGTGAAATAAGTCAGAGAAAGACAAATATCATATAATTTTACTTTTATATGGAATCTGAAAAACAAGTGAACAAAGAAAACAGAAACAAAGTCAAACTGATAGTTACCAGAGGGGAGGGGCACATGGGGGACTTGGTGAAAGAGGTGAAGGGATTAAGATGTGCAATTTGGCTAAATAAATAAAGAAGTGCAAATTGGCAGTTACAAAACAGTCCTAGGGATGTAAAGGACAGTATAGGGAATATAGTCAATAATATTCTTTTTTAAAAATATATATTTTGTTGGTTTTTTACAGAGAGGAAGAGAGAGGGATAGATAATTAGAAACATCAATGAGGAAGAATCATTGATCAGCTGCTTCTTGCACACCTTCTACTGGGGATGTGCCGGCAACCAAGGTACATGCCCTTGACCGGAATCGAACCTGGGACCTTTCAGCCCACAGGCCAATGCTCTATCCACTGAGCCAAACCGGTTTAGGCTATTCTAATACTACGTACGGTGTCAGGCAGGTACTAGGTTTATGGGGGAGCAGAATCACTTCATAAGTCGTATAAATATCTAATCACTACACTGTACACCTAAAACTATTATATAATATAATATTGAATCCCAAGTCTAATAGAAAAATTTTTTTTAATGGAATCATTCACAAGTACTTCATTTTTAATATAGAAACAATAGGTATGTGGTAATTGTAAAATATTCAAAACAGCACAGAATTTTAAGAATGCTTTCCCCAAACTACTATAGACAGTTTAGTGTTCATTTTGCCACACTATTTTTCTATTTATGTATACATCATCTAGATTTTTAAAAATATTTTATTTAAAAAAATATATATTTTTATTGTTTAGAGAGGAAGGAAGAGGGAATGATAGAAACTTCACTGATGAGAATCATTGACCGCCTGCCTCCTACATGCCCCCTACTGGGATTCAAGCCTGGAACCTGGGCATATGCCCTTGACCAGAATCAAACCTGGAACCCTTCAGTCTACAGGACGATGCTTTACCCACTGAACCATACTGGTTAGGCCATCACATAGATTTTTAAAAATATATACATTTTTTATTGATTTTAGAGGGAGATGGAGAGATAGAAACATCAATGATGAAAGATCATCATCTGATCAGCTACCTCCTGCACGCCCCCTACTGGGGGTCAAACCCACAACCCAGGCATGTGCCCTTGACCAGAATCGAACCCAGGACCTTTCAGTCTGCATGCTGACACTCTTTCCATTGAGCCAAACCAGCCAGGGCTATCACATAGATTTTTATAAAACGAATAATATGGACTGTTAGGCCTTTTACTTTCCTTACTATAATATGTGGAGGTCCCTGACCTCTACAAAGCAGAAGCTGAAAGAGGAGTCATGTAAACAGCTTACACTATAAAAGGAAGCAGATGTGTAGTATAAACTAGAAGCCTAGACACAGGAGATGTCAACTGTGTCTGCTGGGGACTCCACCAATCATCCCCCCCCAAAAAAAATTATGACTTCTGCTCAACCCTCCAATGCCTTCCCATTGCACAATAAATAAAATCTTGTATCCCCACTACAGTCTACAAGGTCCTGCCTAAGTTGACCCCGTTGCCTGCCAGTCCAACCTCATTGCCTGCCTCCCCATCACCCATTAATCTCCAGCCAACTTGGTTCTTGAAGAAGCTGTTTCATAGCTCAGGGCATCACCCAGAGGGATAAATCTAGTTTATTCTAGCATTCTCTCATTTTACATTTCTTTGTCCTTGCTACCGTGTTTTCCCGAAAATAAGACATCCTCCGAAAATAAGACCTAGCACATGGAAAGATAAGACATCCCCTGAAAATAAGACCTAGCGCAACTTTGGGAGAAAAAATTAACATAAGACACTGTCTTATTTTTGGGGAACAGGGTAGTAATGTTTCCCCACTTCAGACTGTAAAATCTCTAAGGATAAGGATATTGTCTGTCTTATTTACTGACACCCAGCCACTAGCAAAAAGCTGGGTGCACAATAAACAGTGTATTTGTTGAATGAATATACTTTTAAACGGGGTCTTAAAAAGATGGGTAGGAGTGCAAAAATAAAAATGGTATGCTAGACTATTAGAATGAAGACAGCAATGGCAGGAAAGTAAGACTAGGAAGACGAAGATCCCGTAAATTTGGATAGGTGGCAGGATAAGGGTGGATTAGAAATTTGGTAGGACGAGGATGGGAAACTATAAAGACTGGCAAGGCAGGTTATTGTACTAATAACTCAGCTGGAGGGCAGCGCTTCTCCATTCCTGCTGGCAGTCACAGTCACTTGCTCTGGACTGTCATAGCCCTTCTTACATTCCTTTATGTTTCACCATCTTAGCGGGGGACCTGGGCTCCAGAAGAACCAAGCATCTGCTAAATGCAGCATTTCTCACCAAGCATTTGACGGATGAACTAAGGGAAACAATCAGTTGAGTGGTTAGAGGACAGGGTTTGGAGAATTCCGAGTTCAAACAGAGACTCAAAACCTATTAGCTAGGACCTTGCTTTCTCTCTCACAGGTTTCCTTTACTCCTTACTTTATTTTCCATGACCATTTATCCCCTATCCCCTCTCCCACCTCCACCCGCCTCACAGGTTCCCTTTAAATCACTAAAAGGTTTGCCCGGAGCCCCGGTGTGGCTCAGTGGTTGAGCCTCAGCCAATGAACCAGGAGGTCACGGTGGGATTCTTATGGGGCACCTGCCTGGCCAGCCCACCCATGATTCTCTTTCATCACTGATGTTTCTCTCTCTCCCTCCCCTTTCCTCTCTGAAATCAATAGATCTTAAAAAGTTTTCTTATTTACCAGAGGTGAAGGGCTTGGCAAAGTCCTGACAGCGCTCCATCATCAGTATTATTATTAATTGCCAATTCACAGGCACAATCGGTCTCTCTGATCCTTAGGTTCTTCTGCCAACTCCCCCCCACAACGCCACACACACACACACACGGGTCCAACAGGATACCTACGGGGCACGGCTGTCCCGGGTGATTTTCCCGGTCCCGCTGGCGCTACAAAGGGACCGTACAAAAATGGCGGCCTCGAACCCACAAGAGGGCGCCAATTACCGGTCATGGCAGCGATATGCACGGCAGGCGGAGCCGGCTACAAACAACTAGGTCAGGGTTCCTAAAGCTTGTGGAAGGCGCCGAGGCTGCCCAGACTCCAGCCGACACCAGCGTGGGGAAAGCCGAAGCGGCGGAGCTCCGCCACAGCCCGGCCCGGCGCCCACGTGTCCCGGGCCCCTCTGCGCCTGCGCGGCCCAGGCGCGCGCCCGCCGGCCGGAAGAGCCGCGCGTTTCCGGGTTGGAGGCGGGGAGCGGTGCCGGAAGTACTCGGGGAGGGCCGAGCAGTCGGACCGGCTGCCGAGACGATCGCTTCACGGGGGCAGTCTCCGCATATCATGGGGAGATAGACCTGCTGCCTGTGAGTCTTGGGCCCTGGCAGTTGAGGAAGAAGAGCGGGAGGAGGGAGTCAGGACCCAGACCCACCGTGGGTCCGTGTGTGAAGCGGCAGATTGTGGCGGAGACGGGACTGTGAGGCATCAGGTTCCTGGGACGGGACTTGAGGGGATCGGGGACCGGAGAAGAGGCGGCTGCAGGGACCCGGGCTCCAGGCGGGACTTAGGGGACGGGGACAGATGTGAGTTCTCCGGCCCCCGAGGGAGAGCAGCCTGAGAGGGACAGGATCGTGAGGACCCGCGCTCCTGAGCGGAGAGGGGTCGGAACGGAACCGGGCGTGAGGACCCGGGCTCCCGAGAGGTAAACGCGGAGCTGTGAGCACTTGGACTCCTAAGAGGCAGAAGTGGGACAGACAGTGAAGAACCCATGCGCCTACGGACTCAGAAACGGAGCAGCAAAGACTTAGATCGTTGAGGGGCGGAAAAAGTAAGAGAACATTGGGGTTTGGGAGGAACAGGAGCGGCCAGTGAAGTCGGGCTTCCCTGGGTACACACGATCGGGGCTTGGAGGCTCCGAAGTAGCTGAGGGGACACAACCGTGAGAACCCGAACTTTTCTAAAAGCGGACAGGTTCGGGGGGCCCTGGCTGTAAGAACAGCCTCTGAGGGAAAAGGAGAGAGTTCGGAAAAGACAGAGCGATCCATTCCCCATCCCTCCTAGTCTCTGAGCCCAGCGTGGCGAAGGATGTGTTCGTGGGAAGACGCCTCCTTCGCTCTGCCTACTTGGCTTTTGCCAGGCTTTTCTTGTATCAGATACTTAATCTAGGAAGCCCACAAGCCAGCATCTTTGTTTTCCGCATCAATCTTGCGAAACTCTGATGTGAAGTTGAAGCAGTTTGAACTCAAGTTATATACTTGACAAGCGCTTTAAATTCCATCCCACTCAACCCCTTGATCTCAGAGATGGAAGGGAGGGCCCGAAAGATAACATATATATATTTTTAAATTCCTATTTGACATGTAAAGAGGGCTTAGGATCACAGTGAAGCCGTTTTGATTAGATCATGATTTTGGAGCAGTACCCTACTGTACCTAGCAAATAGGAAATGCTTGGTTAATATCCCTTGAAAAAACATGCTTCTGGAATCTAGCTGCTCTAACTTCAAACCTCAGCGGGAATTTTCCCAGGTTTTTGCTACTTTTTTTTTTTTTTTTTTTAGTCTTGTTACTGTATTGACATTGATACAGTGAATGTCACTCACTACCTGTTAAGAAACCTTTAAGTGAAGCTCATCCCTCCCTCAAAATATGTCATAAGCTATTTAGAAAGTTGCAGACACATAAGCTGTACCCTGTATTTTTAGCATAAGCACTCACTGGAGATGGCTGCTTTTAGATAAGGTTGGCAGGGAGACGTGGACCAATATCGCTTCTCTTCTTCAACAGTATCTTGGACTGAAACCTGCTCAGACTAACCAGGCACCATCAAAAAGCACTTTCAAGTATGATGCCATTTAATTATCACTTATAGCCCCACACGTTAGATATTGTTAGTCCTGTTGTACAGATAAGGAAATTGGTTCAGAGAGGTTCAGTACCTTGCCTGAAATCACAAGGACTAAGTGGTCCAGCCCCAGTCAAACCCAGTTATGTGTTTGACTAAAATTTTTTTCTACTTTTCTAAGTGGATTCCTCTTCATGTCTGAGTTTGCCCATCATCAAAATAGAAGGAATAGTTCTACAAAGCATATTGAATGAAAGCACCCTTCCTCCTTAAGACTCAGTATCAAGTACTATAACTGACTAGGGTACTTATGTAGTGTGGTATTTAAGATTGAAATCCCTGTGTTTTAATCTGTATTATTATTATTTTTAAAAATATATATTTATTGATTTTTTACAGAGAGGAAGGAAGAGGGATAGAGAGTTAGAAACATCCATGAGAGAGAATCATCGATCAGCTGCCTCTTGCATACCCCCTACTGGGGATGTGCCCGCAACCAAAGTACATGCCCTTGACCGAAATTAATCTGTATTATTTTTTGTTTTTATCTCGTTTTCCTTTTTAAATTTGTATATAACTTTAAAGGAGCATAGATATTCAAGGTGGAAAAACAAGACCTGACTAGAACATTTTTGGGAGGCCAACAAAAGCCAATTTGAAATAAGGGCTTAAACTGGATTAGCTTTACAGTTATAACATGAACTAGATGATCAGGGAAATTGGGCTAACTTAGTTGAAACTATTTTCCCCCTAGTGAGTTAGCCTGTGCTATTTGCAAGTGCTTGTATGTCAGTGATCAAAACTTACATCAAATTATAAGATTAATAATAATAAAAGGCTAATATGCAAATTAACTGAACAGTGAACAACCGGTCACCATGATGCGCACTGGCCACAAGGGGGCAGACACTCAACACAGGAGCTGCCCCCTGGTGGTCATTGTGCTCCCATAGGGAGAGTGCTGCTCAGTCAGAAGCCAAGCTCACAGCTGGCAAGCGCAGTGGCCGTGGTGCCAGCGCTAAGGATTTCTGACTGACAGCTTGGGCCTGCTCCCAGAGGGCTTCTGGACTGCGAGAAAGTGCAGGATGGGCTGAGGGACACCGCCCCACCTACAACACCCCCCCTCCACCCCCCCCCCCCCGTGCCCAAATTTTATGCACTGGGCCTCTAGTAAGATTAATAAGTATGCCATGCCACCATTTCAAACAAGGTACTTAACTGTTTAATGATAATTTATTACTGGGTTAATATCCTCATCTGTATTTATAAAATGTACTTATTTCACTCACTGGTGGCTCTAGTATTGGTTGAGTTATTATAATAGGATTTCAAAGTACCTGATCAGAAAATCATTGTGTTAGTGCAGATATGAATGTTGAACATATTATTTTTGACCAGAGATTTTTGTGGAAAGTTGGAAGGGACATATCAACAGTATTTACAGTCTGCACAGTAAATCAGGTGTGTTGGAGGCAGAAGACAAACTTTGAACTCTGTACATATAGCTTAATTTAAAATCTTACTCACTGCCGAGGTTGGTTGGCTCAGTGGTAGAGCATCGGTCTGCGGACTGAAGGGTTCGATTCCGGTCAGGGGCATGTACATCAGTTGCGGGCACATCCCCGGTAGGGGATGTGCAAGAGGCAGCTGGTCGATGTTTCTCTCTCATCGACGTTTCTAGCTCTCTATCTCTCTCCCTTCCTCTCTGTAAGAAATCAATAAAATATATTTTTATATAAATAAATAAATTAATTAATTAAATAAAATCTTACTCACTAATTGTTAGAGCTAGAATGAACTTTAGAATTTGCCAGTAGAAACTCTGGTCACAGGGAGCTCAACTAAGTGGCAGAAGTAGGATGGTACCCAGCACCTCATATAAGTCTCCTTGTAACCATTTGCCACTACTGTTTTATTTTAATCCACTTCCTTCTTCTAATGTCTATAGTCATAAAATAGTTACAGGACGCCTTTTAGCTTTAACACTCTGATCTTTATAACTAACATTTAGAAGAGGAGAGCATAGATTAGGAAACATGTTTAAAACATGTTCTCCTTTGTAACACACACTTGAACTGCTTTAGATACATAAACTTAGTGAATTCTCACAACAATCCCATAAGGTATACTTTATGATTAATTTCATTTTAGAGTTGAGGAAATTGAAACAGAAAGAGATTAGGTAAGTTGCTCAAGGACATAAAGTTAGTATGTATCAGAATTGGTACCTGAACCCAGACACGGTCATCAGAGTCCATGCCCTTTTCCACTGTACTATACTGCCTTTGTATTAAGTCAAAATCACCTAAATAGGATCTAACTAGTCCAAAAACTGGTGAGGGAAAACCTATATTTCTCTTGCTCTCCAGTCTCACAGACTAATTAATTGATTCCTTTTGGTTCATTTAGGCTGGGAAATCTGAGCTCATTTGGTTACATCTAGAAGCCAATGAGGAAATAAACAACCAAGTAGAAAACCCAGACATTAAGTCAAGTCATGCATTACAGTAATAGGGCTTTTATGCTATCAGGCTGATAGTCCCCCTATCTCCGCATTTTGTTTAAATAGTAACTTTCTGAGCATTTGTAAGGTAAAATTGTGTAACACCCAATTTGGCCTTCTATCCTCCTATTTTCTTCATTAAAAAAAAATTCTATTAATGGAACAGATGCCAGAGAGAAGGCTAGGTCTTTTTTTTTTTTCCCCTTCCATGAGGAGGCCAGGTCTTGTGACTACTGCAAAGTCAACACTGGTTTCCTACCTTCTGAAGAATCAGATCTGTTTAATAGAATAATAGCATTGCAATTGGATTCCTGTTTAAGGAACAGGAATAGGGCTTTTGATCCTCAATTGATTAACAACAGTTTAAATGTTAAAGGGTTAGTCGTAGCCATATAATCCTGTTTTGATAAAATTATTAACTACTTTAATAATGAACTTTTCTAAAAAAAAAAAAAAAAATTTTTTTTTTAAAGAATAACTTAAAAAAAAAGAACTTTTCTGGACTTTGTGAATCCCATAGGTGCTAGTAAGGATTTACTATTATAATTGTTCTCTCAAACTCTGCCAGAGTTAAGGCCTGTTTTCACACAGCATACATCCCTATCTCTTGGCAGTTTAAGGTCATGAGAGTTAGAAATTTGAGTAGCCCAGAGGCAATCATAGTCCATTACATAATGGAATTCAGGTTATTATTGGTCACTTCATTCCATTACTTGGTCAACCTCATCCACATGGGCCTTAATGAAAGTGGTCAGTATATAGATCATTTGGGGAGCCATTGACCATTCTGATGAGGTTGTGATACTTTGTTTTTTAAATTTATGTACCATAAACTCTCTCTTTGGGGGGCATGGTTCTCTAAGTTGTAACAAGTGCATATTGTCATGTGAGCACAATAGCCTCTGGTTACCTCTCGGTTCCACCACCCCAAAAATTTCCCTCATGCTGCTCCTTTGTAGATAAACCCTCTCCCACCCAATCCCTGGCAACGGCCCCCCAAGTGCATGAATTTCATGCACTGGACCTCTAGTTAGTATATATTTAACTATAAGGCGCGATCAAACTTTTCCAAATAGACTGTACCATTTTACATTCACAGCAGAAATGTTCATGGGTTTCCGTTGCTCCACATCCTCTCCAGCACTTGTTTATTTATTTATTTATTTTATTTTAGCTATTCTAATAAGGATTTAATAGTGTCTCATTATGGTTTTACTCTGCATTTCCCTAATGACTAATGATATTGAGCATCATTTTCTGTATGTATTTGCTATCTGTATATCTTTGGTGAAGGGTCTCTTCAGATCTTTTGCCCATTTTTTTATTGTATTTTTTTTTTTCTTATTCTTGGATTTTAGGAGTTCTTTGTATACCCTGGTTACAAATTCCTTGTCAGATACATGTACTGAACTCTGTCCACTGAGCCAAACCGGCCTCAGCCAAAACATACTTTTTAAAAATAGAGCCGAAACCAGTTTGGCTCAATGGATAGAGCGTCGGCTTGGGGACTAAAGGGACCCAGGTTCGATTCCGGTCAGGGGCATGTACATTGGTTGCGGGCACATCCCCGGAAGGGGGTTTGCAGGGGGCAGCTGGCCAATGTTTCTCTCTCATTAACGTTTCTAGCTCTCTTTCTCTCTCCCTTCCTCTCTGTTAAAAATCAATAAAATATATTTAAAAAAAATAAAAATAGAGATCAGTATTACCTATTTCTTCAGAGGAAATAAACCAAATAATAATTTTTTAAAATCTTTCTTATAGGTAACACATATGCACATAGTGCAGGATTTAGGGTGTACAATGAAAAGTAAGCCTTCTCCCACCGTGGACACATAGACCATCCAGATACTACCATTCCTCCACCTCCCAGCAACCACTCTTATCCGTTTCTTATGTATCTTTCTGGGAATAATTTATGCGTTTACAATTGTGTGTCTGTATGTTTCAGTAAATGATAGCAAATTATTCTCACTGTTCTATACCTTGCATTCTCATTTGAACAGTGTTTATTGGAGATAATTTCATGAGCGTCCTCTCATTTTTTAAAAAGTTTTTATTCTAGTTTTTTGTTTTTTAATTGATTTCAGAGAGGAAAGAAGAGGGAGAGATTGAAACATCAACGATGAGAGAGAATCATTGATCGGTTGCCTCTTGCATGTCTCCTACTGGGGACTGAGCCCGCAACCTAGGCATGTGCCCCTGATTGGAATCGAACCGGAGACCCTTCAGTCTGCAAGCAGATATTCTATCCACTGAACCAAACCAGCCTGGGCTCATTTTTAAAATATATTTTTATTGATTTCAGAGAAGAAGGGAGAGGAAGGGAGACATAGAAACTTCAATGATGAGAGAGAATCATTGATCGCCTTCCTCCTGCACACCTCCCACTAGGGACCAAGCCTGCATGTGCCCTGACTGGAATTCGAACCGTGACCTTCTAGTTCTTAGGTCTATGCTCAACCATTGAACCATGCCAGCTGGGCTAGACATTTAGATTTTTATATAATTGAACATAGCAGTAATTTCTTTTATGGCGCCTGAATTTTGGGTTATCTGAAAACTTTGAGGTATCTATAAATACTCTTGAGAATTTTCCCCCTAATTTTAAAAAAGTGAGGTAATTTTAGATTTATGTGCAGTTGCAAGAAATAATGCAGAGAGATCCCTTGTACACTTTGCCCAGTTTTCCCCAATGGTAACATTTTGCAAAACTGTTATGTAATATGACAACCGGATATTGACATTGATACAACCTAGCAATTTTACTCAGATTTCCCCAGTCTTAGTTATACACTTTTGTTTGTGTGTGTATGCGCATTATCTCATACAATTTAATCATTCTTCATTTATTTATCACTACAGTCAAGATACTGAGCAAATCCATTACCACAAGGACCCCTGGAATTGCCCTTTTATAACCATTCCCACTTCCCTCTCACCCAGCCTCTGACAACCTCACTAATATGTCCTCTATTTCTAAAATTTTGTCATTTCAAAAATGTTCAATATGTATTCTTTTTGGATTGGCTTTTGCTCTGCGTAATTCTCTGGAGGTTTATCCAAGTTGTATATATAAATATATTTTGGTTCTTTTAAAAAATATATATTTTTGTTGATTTCAGAGAGGAAGGGAGAGGAAAAAAGAGAAACATTAATGAGGAGAGAGAATCATTGATCAGCTGCCTCCTGTATGCCCCTATACATACAATGGCTTTTCCTATACATACTTTCCTGTGCTAAAGTATAATTTATAAATTAGACACACGACATTAAAAACAATAACTAATAAATAGGATAATTATAATAAAAATTATGTGAATGTGGTCACTCTCTCAAAATATCTTTTTGTCCTGTACTTATCTTCTTCTTGTGATGGTGTGAGATGAGTTGATGATACAATGTGTACGTGATGAGATGGAGTGAGGTGAATGGCATAAGCACTGACATGGCATTAGGCTACTATAGGGTAACCTGAACATAAGCACTGTGATACTGTAACAATTGATCTTATAACCCAGATGACTACCAAGTGAGTAAGTGCAGGTAGCATATACAGTGTGGATATGCTGGACAAGGGGATAATTCACGACCTAGGTACAATTGAGTGGGGTTGCACGAGACTTCATTACACTACGCAGAAGGGCAGGTAATTTAAAACATACAAATTGCTTCTTTCTGGAACTTTCCACTTAATATTTTCAGACTGTGGTTGGCTGAAACTGGAAAATGAAACCTTGGGTAAGGGGGCGATGGGAGAACTGTATTACTTCCATGTTAACCATCTTTTTCTAACATGATTCTTCCCCTGGTAGCATTTCTGGGCAAGGGAGAAGGCATGGACTGTCAGTGATACTGATATTTGGCTGCCCCCCTCAGCCGGTTCCTGACCAACAAGTTTCTCTTTATCATTTAACCAGTGCAGTTAGTTGCTTTTATTAAGGGTAAGCCAGGAGAAGGTGTCATATCAAAGGGGTGCGCTGGGGAAGAACTCAGCAATAGGGGCAACAGTAGAACAGATGTAAATATTCATTCAGGTTGCTAAGCATTCCCAAGCTCTGAAACCACTGCCACGCTTTCTGCAAGTTAAAATTCCGCCATTTTGGCTAGTAATGGCATTTCCTTTGCTGCTAGTTTTTCCCTAACAATAGAGCACTCATCTTATAGGAAGAGAGTCTATGTTATTCTAATTATAAATTAATTTAAAAAGCTGCATATGAAAGAGAAGGAGATGTTTTTCTTGGTGCCCAGAAGGGATAAGGAGATGTTTCTCCGCGTTCAGTTTTCCTGGTTCCTGGTTGACAAAGGTATGCCAGGCTGTGGGACTGAAATGGTTCTCTGGCAAAGGGTGGTGCTTGATGTCAGTTGTTCATTTACAGGTAGCTTTTGAAAATGGCTGCCTCTCATTTCACCGGGCTCACAGCTGTTGCTGATGTAATTAAAGATCTAGACACTCAGATAGCTGTAAGTAAGTTCTTTGAAGCCACTGTGAAAGGAACGTGGTGAATGTGCTTCTGATCTTGGTGACACAACAGCTGATGTCACAGATTCAACCTCCTGGCTCTAAAATGTAGGGGTCCCAGCTGCTCCAGGCTAAGGACTCTGCATGTACTTAAAGATTGCTAACACTCAGAGGAAGTTTGCTCTTGATGACAAAAAAGGTTCTCACAATGGCTAAAAATTGTGTTGACTAGGTATAACCCTGACATAGAGTTAAGCATGTTTGGAAATGCCAAAATGAACTAATCTGTTTTCTGAAGTTTTGTGGTTGGGTTTTAAGTATGTGACTGTGCCATGATTTATTTGAAATTAACATTATTTGATGCTCAAAAATAATGCATGTAGTACTTAATCATGTGTTCTATTTTTACAAAGTCTTCAAAAATGTCTTGCTCATTCTAGTTTATTTTTGCACATGAGATTCCTCGTTTCACTTACTTATTTCAATTTTGTGGACTATTTCATTAAGCTTTTGGAGAAGAGATGATTTCTAAATATCAGGTGAGAGCAATGAATAGTCTTCATTCCTTACATTTTTATTTTTATTTATTTTTATTTTTTAATACCGGTATATGTTTTATTGATTTTTTACAGAGAGGAAGAGAGAGGGATAGTTAGAAACATCAATGAGAGAGATTCATCGATCAGCTGCCTCTTGCACACCCCCTACTGGGGATGTGCCCGAAACCAAGGTACATACATGCCCTTGGCCAGAATCGAACCTTGGACCTTTCAGTCCGCAGGCCATGGCTCTATCCACTGAGCCAAATGTGTTTTGGCATTCCTTACATTTTTAATGTGCAGGTATCAAATAGTCACTATTCCTGAAATACTAAAGACCTTTCAAAGTCTGGTAGATCTATTATTTTACTTTCAAAACTCACCCTTCATTGCAGGTCTTCTGGAGCTAATCTTTGTGTTTGCCTCCACAGTTGATTGGTCTTGGCCCTCATACCTCCAGGAAGAAACAGGATCTCGATAAGCTCTATGAGCTGAAGTCCAAAGCTCGGCAGATTATGAACCAGTTTGGCCCCTCAGCCCTCATCAACCTGTCCAATTTCTCATCCATAAAACCGGAACCAGCCAGCACCCCTCCACAAGGTTCCATGGCAAATAGCACCACAGTGGTAAAGATACCAGGCACGCCTGGGTCTGGAGGGCGTCTCAGCCCTGAAGCCAATCAGGTATAATCCTCTTACTCTTTGCTCTCTGTAGTCTTTTCTTATTTGAACCAGTAATGCTTTGAGAGATGTCCATCTCAGATGCTGCCTCTTCCTCTCCCTGAAAAAGGTCTTTTCCCTCCTTGGACTTCTGAAGTTCTATATTGGCCCAGCTGTTGTGGCTCAGTGGTAGGACCAGGAAATCGTGGTTCAATTCCTGGTCAGGGCACATGTCCGGGTTATGGGCTCCATCCCCAGTGTGGGGTGCGCAGGAAGCAGCCAATCAACGATCCTCTCTCATCATTGATGTTTCTCTCTCTTCCTTCCTCTCTGAAATCAATAGAAATATATTAAAGAAAAATAACTAAAATAAAATAAAAGGAGGTACCATGAGCCAAGCAGGTAGAAAGAAGGGTGGAAGAGCATGTCCAAAACAGCAAAGGCGCCGAAACAGGTTTGGCTCAGCGGTAGAGCGTCAGTCTGAGGACTGAGGGGTCCCGGGTTCGATTCCAGTCAAGGGCATGTACATTGGTTGCGGGCATATCCCCAGTGGGGGGTGTGCAGGAGGCAGCTGTTCGATGTTTCTCTCTCATCGACGTTTCTAGCTCTCTATCTCTCTCCCTTCCTCTCTGTAAAAAGAATCAATTAAAAAAAAAAAAAAAAAAAAAGCAGAGGCACTGCATGATTTGTGTGGTCAGAAAATGGCAAATTATTTACTGTAGAGGGAAAATGAGGCACAGTGAGAAAAAGATGAGACTGAAGTAAATTGACAGATGTTGGCCTCTCTTCCAAACTGCTCTTTCTGCCTTTCCCTAAGATACTTCTGTCTTTGTTGTTAATCCTCACCTGAGGATATTTTTCATTGATCTTTTAGAGAGTGGAAGAGAGAGGGAAAGACAGAGAGAAACATCGATGTGAGAGAAACACATCAATTGGTTGCCCCCTGGTGGGGGAGGAGCCTACAACCAAGGTACGTACTCTTGACCAGAATGGAACCTGGGACCCTTTGGTCCGCAGGCCAACACTACCCACTGAGCCAAACTGGCTAGGGCAGAAACTACTTCTGTCTTGAGAGTGTAATCTTACGGCAATGTCACCTGGTAGGCCAGACTGTTAACTCTTTGGAAATCAGAAAAATAAAACCATTGAATTTACAACCTTTCTGCATCATAGCATAATGAGTCCTTTTGTTTGTTGCCTTGATACTTGGCTGAAAATCTTCTCCTAATTAACTTTAGGTGTTGACTAAGAAGAAATTACAAGACTTAGTAAGAGAAGTGGATCCTAACGAGCAGTTGGATGAAGATGTAGAGGAGGTAAGAAGGGACTGGGTACCACAGAGGGTATGTCCCTGAGAGCTAGTATGTAATAGTGGTGAAGAGCATAATTTTAGAGGCAGACAAATCTGAATTTGCATCTTGGCTCTGCCAGTTAATGCTTTGTTGCTGTGGATAAATTACTTAGGCTTTCTGAAACTCAGCTTCCTCCTGTGCTGGGAGGGTTATGACATTATTTATCTACATGGTTATTATGAGGGTCCCGTGGAATAATTATACAAGACACTTTATACTTAACACCTGCTGCTACTTTTGCTTGTCAAAAAGAACAGAGTCTGCTTCTCATAGGCAATCATCATAATTTTAGTTGTTTTTGGATTATTCCTCTGTATTTCTAAGTAATATACTTAAACATATACTCTTTGACTTATTAATTTTTTTAAGATTTAAAAAAATATTTTTAATTAATTTTTTAGAGGGAAAATAGAGGGAGAGAGAGAGCTTGCACACCCCCTGCTGGGTATCAGGCCCAGAACTTGGGCATATGCTCTGACCTGGCATCCAACCAGGGACTGACCCCTCAGTCCATGGGATGACGCTCAACAGACTGAGCCACTCTGGCCAGGCTTAAAAGATTTTTCAATTGAGAGAGAGAGCAAACATCAATGTGAAAGTGAAACATTGATTGGCTGCCTCCTGCAAGCCCCCCACTGAGAATCAAGCCTGCAACCCATGCATGTTCTCTGATCAGGACTCCAACTGGCAACCTTTCTTTTCTGTGGTACATGGGATAATTAATGCCCAACTAACTGATCCACGTCAGCCAGGGCTGATTTATTAATTTTATAATAGTCTATTGACTTCCTACTGTGGTAGATGACAATTTTAGAGTCTTTTTCCTATTCTCAATTTTTATATGTACCTTAGTATATCTCTTTTTTTCATCTGTTGTGCTGTTTTTGGAGGCTTCTTTTACTCTAGAAACTTCTGTGCCTTAATGCTGGGATGACTTTGTATATTTTTTGGGATGTTTTTGTTTTGCCTTTGCTGAGTAATATGTAATGCTAGAGAAAGAAAATGCAGGTTATAAAGACAGTATTACTCTATTGTTTGTTTTAACCAGAAGGAAAATATTTGCCTTTTTTGTATATATGTGGTCATTTGGAATAGCACCTTTACTGAGATGTAATTCCTGTACCATAAAATTCATCCATTTGAAATCTATAGTTCGGTGGGTTTTACGATATTGAGAGTTGTGCAACTGTCAACACAATTTTGGAACATTTTTATCATCCCTAAAAGAAACCCATACCCGCCGAAACCGGTTTGGCTCAGTGGTGGAGCGTCAGTCTGCGGACTGAGGGGTCCCGGGTTCGATTCCGGTCGGGGGCATGTACATTGGTTGCGGGCACATCCCCTGTGGGGGGTGTGCAGGAGGCGGCTGGTCGATGTTTCTCTCTCATCGATGTTTCTGGCTCTCTATCTCTCTCCCTTCTTCTCTGTAAAAAATCAATAAAATATATTAAAAAAGAAAAGAAACCGCCAAAGCCGGTTTGGCTCAGTGGTAGAGCGTTGGTCTGCGGACTTAAAGGTCCCAGTTTCAATTCCGGTCAAGGGCATGTACCTTGGTTGCCAGCACATCCCCGGTAGGGAGTGTGCAAGAGGCAACTGGTTGATGTTTCTCTCTCATCGATATTTCTAGCTCTCTATCTCTCTCCTTTCCTCTCTGTAAAAAAATCAATAAAATATATATAAAAAAAAAAAAAAGAAAAAAAGAAACCCATACCCTTTAGCAGTCATTTTCCATTTTTCCCCAGCCCCCACTGCCCTAGGCAACCAACTACCAATATATTTTCTATCTTTGTATTAATAGATGTGCCGATTCTGGACATTTCAAATATATGGAATCATAATGTTTGGTCTTTGTGACTGCCTTCTTTCAGTTAGCATAATGAGTTTAAAGTTCATCCATGTTGTAGAGGACATTATTATTATACTTCATTCCTTATTATGGCTGAATAAATATTTCATTATATGGATACTAGAGGCCTGGTGCACAGATTCGTGCACCATTGGGGCCCCTCAGCCTAGCCTGTGGGGATCGGGCCGAAACCAGCAGTCGGACATCCCCTGAGGGGTCCGAGATTGGAGAGGGTGCAGGCTGGGCTGAGGGAACCCCCACACACATGAATTTCTTGCACCAGGCCCCTAGTTCTTAAATATTATAATGAGCCATTAAAAAGCTGATTTGAATCAGAACTTATTGACTAATAAGCTTTGTCCAGTAATGTGCTGGGAAATGTTTAACAACAGGCTCTGTAAAGAAAATGACCCTGATTTTCAGCATTTTCGGATTTCTGGGATGTAAAATTCCCACTATGCCCTATTTTAAGTTATCGACATGTTGTTGCTGAATGCAAAATTGGTAAAAGTGCAAAAATTGACTTTCGTGAGCTCATCTCAGCTGGCTGTAGGGTACCATTGGCTCCACTTCAGAATAATTGATCCACAAATTGACCTTTTATTGGAGGCTTTCTAAATATCAGTATCTGTAAATCTTTTCTCTGGAGTCATTTAATATCTCTAGAGAAAAATCCTCCAGATTTCTATCTGGAGGGCTTATCCCTAGCTTCTAACATTCTGGAAGCAAGAAAAGAGAAAGGGGCTGTATCTCTCCCCTTGCTCTGCTATGTCTGGTATATTCTTTTCTTTTAATTGATTTTTTTACAGAGAGGGAGAGAGAATGAGAAACATCGATGAGAGAGAATCATCGATCAGCTGCCTCTTGCATACTCCTTACTGGAGATGTGCCCGTAACTAAGGTACATGTCCTTGACTGTAATCGAACCTGGGACCTTTTGGTCCTCAGACGCTCTATCCACTGAGCCAAACTGGTTTCGGCTGTCTGGAATATTCTAATCCAGAGCCATATCCCTTCGTTTTCCCTGGGGAATAAACCTACTGTGTTCTGGGTCAGGTAAGTGTGGCTGCTTTTGGGGTACAGGGTTCAGTGGACTGCTGTGTGTATTAACATGTAACAATTCCCCAATTTTTAGTTCCACATCTCAGCTTAGTCTTCGATGATAAATGGAACTTCAAAATCCTGATTCTCTTAGGGGTTGTGAAAGGAATCAGTTTAATTCTCATTGGTGTCCTCTCTATAGGCACTTGGTTTGTAATTTCTGTATGCAAGTTCAGTTCTCCCTCTCATTCTGTTATCTCTATAGCAAAAACTTACTTTAAAAGTTTATTGGAATTTCTTTTCATTAGGTTTTCTTTCCCGTTGAGGATTTATATATGTCTTTTTCTTTACTATTATTTTCATGGATTTAGGGAAGGAGAAGAGGTCATTTTAAGAGTTGACCTGCCATGTTTAATCATAAGTATTTCCTTTAGATAGTATCCATTTGGTTCCATAGGAAAGATGACAATGCATTAATGGCCCAGCAGAACAAGGAATGTCTACATCTATGATAGTAATTTTATTTTAATTTTTGGTCAGCAAAGGAAGCCATGGGAAGGCATTGACTTAAAATTTCAGTTTCTTCATGTAGATTTTTAGCTTTGGAATTCTGATTTTGTTCATCACACACTCCAGGATTAATATAATGAAGTGGAAAGAACCCAGGATTTAGGTTCACAACCTTGAGGTTGAAACCTGGTAGCACTGCTTATTAGTTACATAGCCATGAGCAAGATAGTCTCCTTGAGTGTCAGCATCCCCTGCTGTAGAATCAGGGTAAAATGCATGCCCCATTTTTTTCACAGGATTATTATAAGGACTAGATAAGATAATGGAAATAAAAAGGCTTTAAGAGACTGTGAGTGAGAAGATAATAATAATAATTAACTTTGTTTTCCCACCTAATTCCTAAGACAATATGGGGGTGAGGGATTGGGCTGGTTGGTGCCTGCTAGGAACTACAGAAAGCTCATCCTCAGGAAGGTGTGAGTTGCACTCCACCTGGTTAACAAGTCCATGTGTTTCTGTTGCCATCCTCACGCTTCCTCTCACCTTAGGCCAATGCTGACTAGAGGCCCTCTGACAGGGAGCCTGACTGAATATGTGGCTCAGGCAGATACAGTTGTCCCAGCAACAGGAGCTGAAGGTGCCAATGACATGGTCCTCTCTCCCGCTTCTCCCCAGATGCTGCTGCAGATTGCTGATGATTTTATCGAGAGTGTAGTGACAGCAGCATGCCAGCTTGCTCGGCATCGCAAGTCCAGCACCCTGGAGGTGAAGGATGTCCAGCTGCACCTAGGTACGTGGTCTCCTTTCTCCCCGAGGTGTCCCCAGGATTCCTCCTTCAGGACCATCATGGAAAGTGTGGTCGGAGGAACCTTTGTGCCAGGATCAGACTTTCAGACTCTGGTATTTACGTATTCCCAGGCATTGGGTTTGCCACTCTCTGCCTGTGTCATTTTATCTTTCTTACTTAGTGTCTCTGAGAGTCCATTTCCTCATTGTAAAGTGGAGATCATAATATCCTCCTTACAGGGTAATTGTGAGGATTATGGTTTGGTTTGTAAAATGACTGGCACAGGACCTGGCTCAAGGTCCTGTGTGTTTCCCTTCCAGTTTTTAGCTTATTTATGCATTTTTCCAAGAAAATTATAATCATAACATGAATATAAATTTGTATTCTGCTTTTCTACATAACAGACACTAAATTTGAGCTTGGGTTTTTCTGGGAGATACTCATCTAACACATTTATTTTTTTACATTTATAGAACTGTACATGTATTTTTTCTTCCTTACGATTTTCTTAACATTTCTTTTTCTCTAGCTTACTTTATTGTAAGAATACAGTATGCAATACATGTAACACACAAAATTATGTCTATTAACTGTTTATGTTATCGGTAAGGCTTTGGGTCAACAGTAGACTATTAGTAAACTTCTGGGGAAGTCAAAAGTTATACATAGCCCTGGCAGGTGTTCTCAGTGGACAGCTCTCAGACCAAAGGGTCCCAGGTTCAATTCCAGGTCAAAGTACCTCAGTTGCAGATTTGATAGGAGTAAGACAACTGAAAAACGACTCCCTTTCTGTGGAGCTGCATGGAAACCTTAGAACTCAGCGCCCATGGCTTTGACCCATTTACTTTGCAAGAAAATCAAATGGTAGCCATTGAACTTTGGCGCACGACACGAGATTCCCTTATTTGTATTCCATAGAATCCCTCTGCAGGGTTACTGTTACTTAGCTTAGCTGACTGCTTAGATTCGTACCCCCTGATCCTTGTCTGAGGGTCACACTGCAGCTGCCCCTGCCCGCCCAGTCCCCTTATCTCTGTGCTGGCCTCTTCCTTGCAGAGCGCCAGTGGAACATGTGGATCCCAGGATTTGGCTCTGAAGAAATCCGACCCTACAAAAAAGCTTGCACCACAGAGGCTCACAAACAGGTGAGGAGTCATCAGAGCCCAGGGCGGCCACAGCTGATCCCTTGAGCTACCATTGCGGTCACAGCTCCCACCACTGCACTTATCGCTCCCTCTCACAGCAGCAATGCTCCATGGCAGATCAGTCAGATATGTCCTTGATGATTATCTGTTTCCACACGGGGGTAGGGGGATCTGTCTCTGGTTTGTCTCTCAATTTTGATGGGCATTGCTTAAAGCTGTTGAATCCAATTTCTTTAATATGGATGGAACCTTATGGATATATCATTCCATCCATATTAACCTGCCATCTCCTTAATGAAGTCTTCCTTCATTGTTGATACTTTGAACATACAAATGGTTCCATGACTGAGGACAGGTTAAGGAAAGCAGAAATATCTGTGCTTGTGGTAAGAGGTAGCACTCAGACTGCTCTGCCAGGCATTCTGATTTCCATCCTAGCTTAACCTTTGTTCTCCGCCTCTCCTACCATGGAACTGAGTAGTCAGTGTGAGAATCTAACCCCACTTCTGCTGTGGAGCAGGTTGTCCCTGTCATTGGTCAGTCTCGTGGCAATGGTGGCGTCCCTTGGCAAGGCTGTCATGCCTGTCTTAATTTAACTGGCTACTCGGAATTGAAAAGTGAGCTTGCCCTGGCTGGTTTGGCTCAATGAATAAAGCATCGACCTGGGGACTGAAGGGTCCCGGGTTTGATTCCGGTCAAGGCACATGCCCAGGTTGTGGACCTGATCCTCAATAGGGGGCATGCAGGAGGCAGCCAATCAATGATTCTCTCTCATCATTGATGTTTCTATCTCCTCCTTTCCTCTCTGAAATAAAAATAAATATATTTAAGAAAAGAAAAGTGAGCTTCGTCTAAGCTTGACAGGCATACCTGGGACCTCTGTTCCATGCTTTTCCACAGAGTGGATCTCTGGAGCGGTGTGTTTCCAGAGCTCGCAGAGGAAGCCCTGCAAAGGAAGCGGTCAATAGCCCAAATCGAAGGACCACAGTGTTCTTCAGAAAGGAGTCCTTCCAGATAACAGATGGTCATTTGGTCTCTTCCCAAATTATCCACTTTTTAGCCATATATATATATATATATATATATATATATATATATATATGGCTAAAAATTATATATATATAAATAATCTTACCAACAAATATAATGTTTAAACAATCTCTTGGTCAAAAAGAGTGAGCCAAGCAAATCATTAATTTGGCTATGGTGGTAGTACCCTGTTTCCCTGAAAATAAGACAGTGTCTTATATTAATTTTTTCTCCCAAAGTTACGCTAGGTCTTATTTTCAGGGGATGTGTTATCTTTTCATGCGCTAGGTCTTATTTTCAGAGGATGTCTTATTTTCGGGGAAACACAGTCGTAAAATTTGAAGTCCATGATATGACTGTTTCCCTGATGGGTTGTGGTAAAAGTTGTTGGTGTCAGTTTCCTTCATTGCAGGTCATCAAGTGAGAAATGGCAGCAGGCTTCAAACAAAGGCCCTTTCCCATTTCTCCACCATCAGAGGAGAGTTTGGTGTGGGTGGAGAGACTAGAAATCACCTGCTTTGATGGCTCTTCTCCTTAAGTTCCCAAAAGGCAGGAGCTGTCACCTTTTCATCTTTTGCCATCCTGCCAGCCTGGGGCCCTGCAGATGGTCCTCAGATTAGGTGGAGCTTGCTGATGAGCTGCCTGCTAGCCACTTGTGAACATCCCAGAAAGTTCCTGACTCTAACCCGTGCATTCCTTTTTCTCTCTCCTTCCAGAGAATGGCTTTGATCCGGAAAACAACCAAGAAATAACACATGGAGAGATCAGGGAATGGACAACATTGTATTTGGAGATACTTGAGCTGAGACCTCAGCCATCTCACCTTTGGATTTTTTTTTAATGCTTTACAGAGAAGCATATATTTTTTATTAACAGTGCAGCAATATCTATAATGACTGAGAGGATCTGCCAAAAGAATAAAGCCTCCTGCCCCCACTTTGGCCCCTTTTCCCTGCCGTCTCAAAGAGGAGCAATTTATCTTCCAGAGAAGATTTTATTTGTGGTTTATTATATAAGTGATTGAATCTGGAACAAAGCAGTATCGTCTTGTTTGGTGAGACAGTATTAGCAGGATTGGTAGAGGTTTTTGTTTCCTTCTCCCTTCCTCTTTCCCCTGTACTTTGTAATGTCAGTGTTTATATGAATATGACTTTCATTTGCTTTTCCAGAATAAAAATGTTATTAATTGAGAGACACAGGATGCATGGCTTACAGCCTTGGAAATCCCAGAGGGAGTCAGGAGCAGCAGCAAGTCTGATGCAGCGCCCCAGTCAGCAGGTGGCAGCAATGTTAGCCATTTCTGTGGTTAAGAAAAAACCACGAGTTCCCATTATGGTTCTCTAAGGAATGCTACACTGTTAGTAGAAATTTGAGTTCAGTTTCTCTGCCATAGGATTGGGTAGGATGACCTCTCCTTAGCCCCCAGCTGAAGAGGCATCCTTCTCTCCTGAGCTCCCAGCTGAAGAGGCATCCTGGTTTGGGCAAAGCCTGCTCTTCTGGAATTCCTAGAGAAAGTTGTGCTCATCCTGAGCCCGAAGAAGGGATGGGGAAAGAGGCCTGTCTGCTCTCAGTTGTTGGTATCCCTGGTCCTGGTGTTTTCACCACCCCATAGAGGAAACCAGGCTCACTTAGCATCCTCCTGTCCTGTGCCCTGCAGAGCCCTGGTGGGTCCTGACGGTTTCACGGCTTCAGGAGGCTTGGCTGTTCTGCTCAGAGAACACCAGCACAGGCACATCCCTCTTGCCCTGCTTTGGTTCTCTGCCTCCTGAGGTTGGCCTGCAGTGGGACCCTGCTTTTCACTCCCATTTAGTTTGGCCCCATGACCCCTCTCTCCACATCCTCATAGATCTCTTGAGAGAGCAGCTCAAAGGCTGTGCTGATGGTACTCTTGCTCTTGGCTGAAGCTTCAACATAGTGAGCCCCCAAAGAAGAGGCAGCCAGCTTCTCCCCTTCTCCTAGCGCCATCTGTCAACCACCAGGTCTCTCTTACCTGCCGCCAGGAAGAGGATGCCGAAGGGTTCACTTCCTCCAGAACCTGCTGATGCCATGTCCTGTTGGTGACATCAAAGAGCAGAAGGCCTCCCGCCAAGTTTTGATAGTAGGAGCCAGTCACTGACCTCGGGAGCCAAGGAGTCCAGCATTAGTGTTGAATCCTCCATTGAGGACCGAAGGGGACGGGGCATTCAGGCAGGTAAATGGAAAGAGCTGGGGTAGAGCCAACAGACCGCAATTCTCAGTCAGCTGTGTGACAGGTAAGCAGCTTCACCTGAGTTCTGTCCCATCTGCATGTGGAAGGACCTTGTTATTCAACAAACATTTGTGAGCTGGGCCCGGGCCCCGGCCCGGCACTGGGTTATGTGATGAGTAAAATAAAAACGCAGGGAGCCATCCTGAGATTGGGTTAATATAAAACTCACTGTGGACGAAACCGGCTTGGCTCAGTGGATAGAGCATCGGCTTGTGTACTAAAGGGTCCCGGGTTTGATTCCAGTCAAGAGCATGTACCTTGGTTGCGGACACATCCCCAATGGGAGGTGTGCAGGAGGCGGCTGATCGATTATTCTCTCCCATCGATGTTTCTAACTCTCTATCCCTCTCCCTTCCTCTCTGTAAAAAAAAAAAAAATCAATAAAAATATATAATTTTTAAAAACTCATTGTGATACACCACAGAGAAGTTCACAGGGCCAGGGGGAGGGGGTCTGACCAGTTGAGCCATAATCTTTTTTTTTTTTTTTGATCCTCACCTGAGGATATTTTTCCATTGATTTCTAGAGAGAGTGAAAGAGTGAGGCAAAGACAGAGAAAAATATTGATGTGAGAGAAACACATCAATTGGTTGCCTCCTGCCGCACCTGCCTGTAACCAAGGGACGTGCCCTTGACTGGAATTGAACGGGGGGAGGCAGGGTTCGGTCCGCAAGCCAACACTCTATCCGATGAACCAAAGGATCTCTCGTGACATGGATGTGTGCCATCCCTGAGGCATGTGGTGGGCCAGGCCATGGTGGGCCTTGTCGGCCCCAGCAAAGGGAGTCCTGATCCAAAAACTAACACTGAAGGGTTTTAAGCAGGAGCGTGACATGGTCAGCTTTGCATTTTGAAAAGATCACTGGCCAGCTAGTGGGGAACAGACAGACTGAAGGAGGAAGAGAGGGAGAAACTGTAAAAGCAGAAATTCATCAGAAGGCTGCTGCCTGGATTGGAGTGGAGGTGGGTGGTAAAGTGGAAAGAGGGCTACATTTGAAAAGGAAGCGGTGTCGGGGAGGGGAGGGAGATCTGAGGAAGATAAGAGATCAACTGAAGGACTTGTGTACATGCATATAAGTACAACCAACCAATGGACACAACTCTGGCGAGAGATGGCATGTATGGGAGGAGGGCAATGGTATATGTACACAATAATTTAATAAAAAAAATAAAAAATAAAAAGGAAGCGGTGCCCTCACATGCCTGGTGACAGGACGTGAGGGTTTAGGAGAGCGTGTCACCCAGTGAGCTGTAAGGGATTCTTGGCTTGGAGTGTCCATCTCTGGTGCAGTCCCGCCCCCACCCTGGGCAGGAGGCCTGCCCTCTAAGCTAAGTAACCTCACAGGGCCGCTGCAGGGTTGATAATAAGCAACTAGCAAAAGAAGTGGCTCACAGTGCTGGAGCCCCTCCCTGTAGGGGTTCATATAATCATTTAATCCTCACAGCAGCTCTGAGAGAGAAAAGCTGCTATTACCCCCTCTTACAGAGGGGAGACCTGACGTTTCTGGGGGAAGGCAGCGGGCACAATGGGCATTTCTCTGCCTTAGAGGTAGCCCCTGCCTCGGGTGGCCAGGCTTCCTGCTGGTTCTTCAATACTTGGCCAGGATTTTGAGAGGGAATGGACTTTTTTTTTTTTTTCCTTCCTCCTCCAGGGATGTGGGGCTTTGTTTTGAGCAACTGACAGTCAAATCCCACCTCCATCCCCAGGATTAGCTGCTTAGCCCACAGGCAAGCTCCAGTGTAGACCTATATCCTGGGCCGGGAAGCTCCTGAGACTCAAAACCACAGCTTACTGGCTGCTGCTTTCTTAATTTTTATTTATTTCTTGGTTTTTAATTTTATTTTAGAGAGGAAGGGAGAAAGATAGAAACATCGATGAAAGGATCAATTGGCTGCCTTCTGCATGTCCCCTACTGGGTATTAGGCCCTCAACTGAGCATATGCCTTGACTGGGAATCAAACCTATGACCTCTTGCCGAAACCGGTTTGGCTCAGCGGTAGAGCGTTGGTCTGCGGACTGAAAGGTCCCGGGTTCAATTCTGGTCAAGGGCATGTACGTTGGTTGCGGGCACATCCCCAGTGGGGGGTGTGCAGGAGGCAGCTGGTTGATGTTTCTCTCTCATCGACGTTTCTAGCTCTCTCTCTTCCTTCCTCTCTGTAAAAAATCAATAAAATATTTATTATAAAAACAAAACAAAACAAAAAAACCTATGACCTCTTGGTTCATGAATTGATGCTCAACCACTGAGCCACGCCAGCCAGACCTTACTGGCTTCTTAACCTCTATGGGCCTCATTCTCCATATCAGTAAAAGGGAAAATTAAAGTAACTACCTTATACATTACACTAGGGGCCCAGTGCACAAATCTGTGCACCTTGAAAGATACTCTGGGCTTCGAGGCTTCAGTGGGCACAGGGGCGGGTTGCAGCTCACTGGGTGACACCAACCTCCACCCTGCCCAGCCCCTCCAACCATGGCCCCTAGCCCCCTGTCTGCTGGCAGCGCCAATCTCGCCACCACCACTCCCACATGCTCAGCCCCACTTGCACCTGCTGATGGCACAGAGCAATGGGGCTGGCAGCAGCAGGTATGAGCAGGGCTGAAGCTATCAGCGGGTGCGAGCGGTGGCTGCTGCCCCGATCACCCCTCAGGAGCAGGGGGAGTTGGAGAAGCCCTCGGGGGTGATGGGGGCTGGCAGCAGCCACTCACACCTGCTGACAGTGCCAAGCGATCTGGACCTGCACCAGGTACCAGCAGTGGGTGTGAGTGGTGTCTCTGATGCTGGCAGCAGGTGAGAGCGCCGGGTGGGACTGCAGCATGTGGGAGCAAAGAATTTTCAGTAACCACCAGAGGCTCACCCCAATGACAGTGCCCTGCGCCCTGCTTTGGTCTGGTGCCCCAACTCACCTGTTCCACCATCCCGCTGCAGCGATGCCCACCATGTTCCCCATGGGATGGTCAGCGCACGTATTAGCAACCAGTTGTTTGGTTGTTCTGCCCTTCGGTCTATTTGCAACCTAGGATACACGAAGGTTGCAGGTTTGGACACATACAAGAAGCAACCAATGAATGCAAATCAACATTCCCCTCTCTCTCTTACGTCAATGAATAAAAGTAAAAAAAATAAAATAAATGCTCAGTTAGTGCTGGCAGCCGTTCCTTCTGCCCAGATCTCTCGGCGCTTTGCTCTTTCTCCTCCATGTTTCCGCTCAAAGGTCATCTCCTCAGAGAAGCCCTCCCCAACCACCTGCTCTAAAGGACCCACATCACTCTGTCCCATCTCCCTTATCTGTGATCTTTAAGGCACCACAACTAGAAATAGTTTGGTTCACTTATTTACTCTTTTTCTCTCTCTCTTCCATTAGACTGTCAGCCCCAGAGGCAATTCTGTATCCCCAGAGCCCAGAACAGAGTAGATGTTCATTTTCAAAAATCTGATGAAGGAATAATATGCTCTAAAGCAAATCATTTCCCTCTTCTGGCCTCAGCTTTCCCATCTTTGAAATGGGGATAATTGTGTCAGTCTTGCAAGATTGTCATAAGGATGAGTGAAGACCTTTTTGGAAGAGGAGGCAGGGAGAGAGCAGTGCACAGGGTGACACCACCTGTTCCAGTTGTCTTGGGGAGGGAGCTAAGAAACTCATCCTGACTGAAAACCTCCCAAGAACCCTAGGATGGAGGAAGTGTCAGCCACCAGTTACTGAGAAACAGGCTCAAAGAGGTGCAGTAACTGTCTCCAAGTCACAAAATTAAGTAGTCAGTGCTCTTTTATTTTTGTTATTTAATATATTTTATTGATTTCTACAGAGAGGAAGGGAGAGGGTCAGAGAGTTAGAAACATTGATGAGAGAGAAACATGGATCAGCTACCTCCTGCACACCCACCACTGGGGACCTACTCGCAACCAAGGCACATGCCCCTGACCGGAATCGAATCTGGGACCCCCCAGTCCACAGGCTGACGCTCTATCCACTGAGCCAAACCGGTCAGGGCAGTCAGTGCTTTTTGCTATGGTAACTGTCCATGCCCTTCCCATGCCCACTGGCCCAAAGACATCCTCAAGACACCCCCTCTACACCTGCTGAGATTCTTCACAACACAAGCACCATCTCCTCTGTGAAGCCATCTTTGATTGCTCCAGGACATGCCCTGCCTTGCAGTTTCTGTTGCAAATTAGTTTCCACAGGAGGCAAATTCTGAGATTAGTGTGTAGACATTTACATTTGATCTTGAACAACTCTGGGGTTAAGGGGGCTGACCTGTACAATAGAAAATCTGGGTGTAGCCGAAACCGGTTTGGCTCAATAGATAGAGCGTCGGCTTGGGGACTGAAAGGTCCCAGGTTCGATTCTGGTCAAGGGCATGTACCTTGGTTGCGGGCATATCCCCTGAGGGGGTGTGCAAGAGGCAGCTGATCGGTGACTCTCTCTCATCGATGCTTCTAACTATCTCTCTCCCTTCCTCTCTGTACAAAACCAATAAAATATATTTTGAAAAAAAGAAAATCTGGGTGAAACTATACCTGACCTCCTTCATCCCCACAGACCCATCCATGGAATTCACCCTGAGTAACGGGTTTGAACTACATGGGTCAATTGGAAAAATCCACGTATAAGCGAACCTGCACAGTTCAAATATTATAGTTCAAAATCATGCTATTCAAGGGTCAACTGTAGAAGGGCATTATTGAGATCAATAACTGCTCAGGCCTCACTGGTATTGCTCAGTGGTTGACCCATGAACCAAGAGGTTGCCGTTGGATTCCAGGTCAGGGCACATGCCTAGGTTGTGGGCTCAATCACCAATAGGGAGCATGTAGGAGGCAGCCAATTGATGGTTCTCTCATCACTGATGTTTCTATCTCGCTTTCTCCCCCTCTCTGAAAATCAATAAAAACATATCTAAAAAAATAAACCTGTTTGGGGGAGAAAAGAAGGGAAGCAGGACTGAGCAGTGGGAGGATCTATCTGTGATGTGACAACAATGGCTTCAGTGGACTCCATAATAATAAAAGGCTAATATGCAAATTGGCCAAACGGCAGAACCACTGGTCTCTATGACGCTCAGCACAGGACCTGCTCCTGGTGGTCAGTGCACTCCCACAGGGGGCGTTCCGCTCTGCCAGAAGCCAGGCTCACTGCTGGCGAGCGCAGTGGCGGTGGCAGGAGCCTCTCCCACCTCTGTGGCAGCGCAAAGGATGTCCGGCTGAAGGCTTGAAGCAGGCCTAAGCCATCGATGGGCATCCCCCGAGGGCTCCCAGGCTGTGAGGGGGTGCAGGCTGGGCTGAGCCCCCCACACCCCAGTGCATGAATTTTGTGCACCAGGCTCTAGTGAGTGATAAAGCAAGGCTTGATCTTCAGAGTTGTTCAGCATTGGGACAAGAAGGCCTGCCCTCTGAATACCCTGCCCCCATCAGATCCACACTGGATGTGGGCTGCCCCGAGGGGTTGGGAGTTTCCAGAGTGTCTTCCTCATTCCTCAGCACTCACCGCAGCTGGAGGGCATGGGGGTGGGGGGGGTGGGGGTGAAGAGGAGGCTATGGGTTCTTCAGCTCTGCCTCCCAGATCCAGATTCAGTCCCTGGCCCTGGACCAAGGTCACTGGGCTGCAACAACCACACCTTATTTCCATGCCCAGACTCAGCCACGCCTGCGGACCTAAGGAGGCTCTGAGCCAGGCCCCCCTGAAATTCCCCGCACTCATCCTCACCTGCGTGGCCTGCTGTGTACAGACTCAGCATCTCAGCGTCCCAGCCCCGGAATGCTGCCGGAAATGGCCACATCCCAGCCCAGAGGAGCGGTGATGACAGTTCTTGTCACTTAGTTCTCAGCAAGTGGCAGGATCTGGCTGAGCATATCCCATCCGCGGTCTCATTCCTGCACCTCCCATCCCCCACCCCCTCAAGGTAGAGTGTTTTATGAGGAAGCCAGTTCAACAGGAAGCTGTATACCTGCCTCTAGAACTTGCTTTCATAGATTGATTTTAGAGAGGAAGGAAGAGACATTGATTTATTGCTCCACTATTTGTTGATACTTGTATTCGATCTAACCAACAACCTTGGCCTATTGAGATGACACTCTAACCAGCTGAGCTGCCTGGCCAGAGCCTAGACATCTCTGGTGCAAAGGGGCTGAGCTCCGAGACCCAAAATCCAGGAGCCAGGACGATGCCAGGACATTGTTTACATGAACCCTTTGGGCAGATTCCGCCATCTGCCCTTTGGAAAGACAGTCTCCATCCCACCAGCACGTCTGAGGTTGGCACTGTTATAATTCTTTTCCTCCCCGAGTCAACACTGGCATGGGCCTCCATGCGGCTTCCTGCTGGGGAGCCTGGGCTCTGGAGGCCTGTGGATGAGCCGAACGCCCCCCCAGTCCTCCTCCAACTTGATGTCCCCCTGCTGCAGGGCCTGATGGATGGCGCTGGCAAGAGTCAGGAAAGCTAGGTCCACGTTGCAGTTGTTTACGGCTGAGGTTTCCATGAAGGCCATGCCCAGGGAGGCAGCCAGCGCCTCTGCCTCCTGGGCCGACACGCAGCGGGTGCTCTCCAGGTCGCTCTTGTGGCCCAGGAGCAGGAAGATTGCCCTGTGGGGGCCCTGGGTGGCCAGGACCTCCTGGTGCCAGTCCGGGATGTGTTCAAAGGACTTCCTGTTTGTCACATCGAAGACCAGCAGGACACCCACCACGTTCCGGTAAAAGGATCTGGTGATGCACCTGGTGGGGCAGAGGAGGAAGCAGTGAATTGGGAGAGCCTGGTACCTTCTAGACACCCCCAGGGGCAAGAGTAAGGTGACCAGCCAAAACCGGTTTGGCTCAGTGAATAGAGCATGGGCCTGCTGACTGAAAGGTCCCGGGTTCGATTCCTGTCAAGGGCATGTACCTTGGTTGCGGGCACATCCCTGGTGGGGGGTGTGCAAGTGGCAGCTGATCGATGATTCTCTCATCATGTTTCTAACTCTCTACCCCTCTCTCTTCCTCTCTGTAAAAAATCAATAAAATATATATTTTTTAAAAAGAATGACATCTTTTATATATAAAAGAGTAAGGTGATCAGATGTCCCGATTTTCTTTTCTTTTTTTAATATATTTTATTGATTTTGTACAGAGAGGAAGGGAGAGAGAGAGAGAGTTAGAAACATTGATGAGAGAGAGTCATCGATCAGCTGCCTCTTGCACCCCCCCCACTGGGGATATGCCTGCAACCAAGGTACATGCCTTTGACTGGAATCGAACCCGGGACCCTTCAATCCCTAAGCCGACGCTCTGTCCATTGAGCCAAACCGGTCCCGGCAGACATCCCGATTTTCAACAATTGTCCCGCGGGACAAATTGTTGACGTCTGGTCACCTTAGGAGCTAGCTGCCCTGCATCCACTGACTGCCCCCCTCCCCCTTACCCCCCTCACAGAGCCCATTCCCCCTGCCTGTCTCTCCCCCAGGAGACGCGCTCTGCTCAGTCAGGGGGAAGCTGGATGCACATCCTGTGCGGACCGCTCCTCCAGCCCCGGAGGAGGCCTGATGTGCGCCTGCCCGAGGGTCCGCTTCCCCCTTCTCTCCCCGCAAACTCCCGGGCATCCGCAAGGCCACCGCCAGCCTCTCCTCCTTCCCCGTCCCTGGGCCTGGCTCTGCGCTCCTGTGAGCTCCCTCGGCACCCACATCATTCACCCCTACAGGTTCCCTTCTTATTGACTGATTTTTTACAGCGAGGAAGGGAGAGGGCTAGAGGCTAAGAAACATCCCTGCACACTGGGGATGTGCCCGCAACCAAGGCACGTGCCCTTGGCCGGAACCGAACCCGGGACCCTTCAGTCCGCAGGCCGACGCTCTACCACTGAGCCAAACCGGTTTCGGCTTCCCCTCCAAGTTTCAGTGTGGGGGCCCCATCCCCAGGCCTGAACCTCCCGGCGGGGGGGGGGGGGGGAATGGGGAGGCGCAACAGGTCTCAGCGCCCGGCTGGGCTTGGCCGCCCCGCTGGCTGCGCGGGACCAAAGGGGAGGACTGAGCCCGCCCCCGCCCCAGGGGCCCCGAGCCCGGCGGCGGCCCCGCCCGGCCCGGCCCCGCGCACCTGAAGCGCTCCAGGCCCGCCGTGTCCCACAGCTGCAGCTTGACGCGCGGCCCGGCCGGCAGGCGCAGCGCGCGGCCGTAGCACTCCAGGCCCGCCGTGGGCGCCGCGCGCTGCGGGCCCGGCTCCAGGCTGCCCGCCGCGCCCGCCACGAAGCGCCGCAGCAGCGCCGTCTTCCCCACCGCGGCGTCCCCCAGCGCCGCCACCCGGAACTGGTAGCGGCAGCCCTGCGCCCCGCGCTCCGCCGCCATCCGCGCCCGCGCCCGCGCCCGCCGCCCGCAGCCTCGGCCCCGCGGGCACCGTCCGGCCCGGCGCCGGGGCCGGGAGGGAGGTCCGCCAGCCCCGCCCCGCCCCGCCCCGCCCCGCCCCGCCCCGCCCCGCCCCCGGGGCTCCGGGCGACCCGCCCCCGGGGCTCCCGGCGACCCGCCCCCGGGGCTCCCGGCGACCCGCCTCCCGCAGGGGAGACCCGAGCCCCCGGTGCTGTCAGCCCTGGAGCCCTGCCTCCAGGAGACTGGCCGGTGAAGACCCCTGGGCAACCGCTTACTCCGCAGCCTCAGTCTCCTCCTCTGTGAAGTGGGGTGAGAGGGACCCCGCTTCTGGGGAGGAGCAAGAATCCAGACAACCCAGCGTGCGCCGCCCTGAGCCTGCAGCGCTGGGCCGGCACCCCATTCATTCTTCTGTATGTTGGGGTGGTTTCTCTCCACGCACCCCACCCCCTCCTGTTAGTCCCCCGGGTGGGCCCTGCTGCTGGATTTGGAGACCCCACTCAGAGGATGGTTGTAGGTGCTTCGTTCCCGTCCTCAGGGGGAGGACGGGATGGGGGGGTGTACATGCCCGAGGCCTTTCTGGAGCCGCACTGGTCCTGACCCGGGGCCTCCGGCTCCCTGTTGGGGTTCAATGTTCCACAGCCCCCGCCGCCTCCTCCTGCGGCCTGTGCTGGACCTCAGGCCCAGGCAGAGGAGGGGACCGGCCTGGAAACCGGCAGAACGGACAGACTGGAGGAGGAGGCAGAGGCCAGAGACCAGGACACAGGCTTTACTGGAGGAGAACACCCTGCGGGCTGCCTCCCGAAGGGAGAGAGAGCACATGGCAGGGGTGAGGGCGCCTTCTGAGGGGAGGAAAGGGAAAGGGTTTAGGGTTTAGGGTACTCGGCACACGCTGATTGGTGGTTTCCTATAAGGCACATGATTAGGGACCTAAGGACTTAGGTTGGGGGCTTAGGGTGTTTGGCAGGTGCTGATTGGTGGTTCGATGTACAGTCCATATAAGGTGCCTGGCCAGGCGCTCAGGAATGTCCGGGCCGCAGGTGCAGGTTACGTCATTCTCCGTCCATCAGTTGGGGGAAGGGAGGGTCTGTCACAGACAACTGTGATTCATAGGCAGTTGTGGATGAAAAGGGGCCACAGGCTAACCTGACTGACTCAGGGAAGGTCCGCATGGAGGCTTTGCAACCAAACAGTGGCCTGGAATTAAACTGTTAAAAATGCTGTTATTTATTTATTTCCCAGAGGAAGGGAGAGGGAGAGAGAGACAGAAACATCAATGATGAGAGTCCGTCACTGACCAGCTGCCTCCTGCCCGGAGGCCCCACACTGGGGACTGAGCCCACAGCCCCAGCATGTGCCCTGTAACCTCCTGGTTCAAAGCTCGATGCTCAACCATGCCAGCCAGGCTAATTCTATTCTTTTTTAACACATATTTTTATTTCTTTCAGAGGGGACAGGAGAGGGAAAAGTAGGCAGAAACATCAACAATTTTTAAAAAAGAGAAAAACATCAATGATGAGAGACAATCATTGATCTGCTCCTACTGCATGCCCCACACTGGGATCCAGCCTGAAACCGGGGGCATATGCCTGGACTGGAAATCAAACTATTAGGGGCAAAAATAGAATATTGGGAACTAGCTATAGTTATGAGAACTGGCAAGGGCGGAATGTTTTTTAAAAAAAATATATTTTATTGATTTTTTTACAGAGAGGAAGAGGGATAGAGAGCTAGAAACATCGATGAGAGAGAAACATCGATCAGCTGCCTCCCGCACCTCTCCCACTGGGGTTGTGCCCGCAACGAGGGTACATGCCCTTGACCGGAATTGAACCTGAGACCCCCCCAGTCTGCAGACAGACCCTCTATCCACTGAGCCAAACTGGTTTCAGCTAGGGCGGAATGTTTTGTATGTCAGAAGAGTGCAGTTGGTCTGTGGACTGGACAGCTCAGATTAACCAGGCCAGGTGGGCTGTTCCGTCTGCTTTCTGGGCAGCAACCCTTTGTGAGGGTCAGTGTGCCCATTTTAATACATTCTATTGATTCTTTACAGAGAGGAAGGGAGAGGGATAGAGAGTTAGAAACATCAATCAGCTGCCTTCTGCACACTCCCTACTGGGGATGCGCCCGCAACCAGGGTACATGCCCTTGACCAGAATCGAACCTGGGATCCTTGAGTCCGTAGGCCGATGCTCCATCCACTGAGCCAAACCGGTCAGGGCGAGTGTGCCCATTTTAGAGTGAAGTTCAGATGTGTGGCTTGTTGCAAGTCACACAGCAGAGCTAGGACTCACCTCTGAGTTTTTCTCACTGTTTGTAACCCCCTCGGAGTGCCACTGAAGGAGGCCGCAAAGGGAGTCCTAAGAGGACCAGGTGGTCAGGTCCCACCTGGGTCAGGGGCCAGGGTAAGGCAGGCACAGCTGCTTCCCAGATCCACTCCACCCTTGGCAGCCTGGCCTTCTGGCACGCAGGGCATCAAGGCTGGCGCTCTGGCTGGTCCCGCACAAGTGGGTTTATCTTGTGGCAAATTGGTGGGATGGGGAAAGTACTCACTGTTGCCACCATCACATCGTCGTGTCTCCTCCTCCCCCGCCTGTGAGCAGATGTTGTTATCCTGCCCGTTTTTTACAAATGAGGAAACTGAGGCTCAGAGGAGTTAAATAACCACAGCCCAAGACCACTCAGCAAGGAAGACAGACTAGTCTACCCAAGGCCAAGGCCACGTTTGCTATGTTTGCTTCCGGCTAGACGGGTTGGGGATTCGAGAAGGCCCACGTTCTCTTCCGGCTAATTCTAAACAAAGCAATGAGGAGCCACATTGTCGGGTTCCGGGCTGTGGGTCACCTCCACAGCAGAGCCTGAAGGAGCCTGTCCCTGTTTGCCCCTCCCTCAGGGAGCAGGAGGGGACGCTGAGACCCCGGGAACCGGGAGGCGCCCAGGAAGGTGTGTGGGTGGCAGGGATCCTCTCCACTGTCTCTGCCCACGCTCCCTCCCGCCTCACCCATCCCTCCACCGGAACCTTCTTCCCCCCTCACCTGGCTGCTAGGCGCCCAGCCCCTTCACCCCCCGCTGGCCTGGCGCTGAGCTCCAGCCACGCTGAGCACCTTTCCTCAGGCCTCAGGGGAGGTGCCCGCAGAAGCCCCTCGGTGCCTGGCCAATAAGGTCCCACGTCATTTTGTCCCCGGCGGTGTCCGTTTCCCTCTCCCCAAGGCCCGAGGCCCTTGAGGGCAGGAACAATGGTTGTATCCTCAGTGCTTGACACAAAGTAGAACCTCGGTAAATATGCATGGTTGAATGAATGAATGAACGCGGCTCGGTGCCGTTCACTCATTCATTGATTCAGTCACTCAGTCAGTCAGTCAGATATCACAGCGGAGCAGGGCCCGAGGAGGTCTGGAGAAGCCCTCTCGGAGGAGGGGATGCTGAAACTGGTCTCTAGGGACAGTGGCAGCTGGGAGGTCAGGGCAGAAGGGCTGCTGAGCAAGGGCAGGAGGAATGAAAAAGCTTGACATGCAGTTTGAACCCAGTCTTCCCAGAAGACTGTATGGTCAGCACATGTCAGTGCACTGTCAGCATCAGGCTCCTTGAATTTCCTCTCCCCGTGGGCTGGGGTCATGTGCCTGCCTGACACATGAATCCAGACGTCAGCTGACCTGAGGGCAAGTTGAATCTGCTCCCCATCCCTGCTCCCCCTTCTGCTCAGTGAAGAAAATCACAGTGCCCACCTCACAGGGTAGTCCAGGAGGAACTGTGTAACCTAACAGGTAAATGTATGCATATTTGCATTAGACAGATCTGGGTTTAAGTCCCAATATGGCCTTGGTCAAGTTTTATTCATTCATTAATTCATTCACTTAATAATTATTTTAAAAAGTGCTAGCACCGCCGAGACCGGTTTGGCTCAATGGATAGAGGACTGAAGGGTCCCGGGTTCGATTCCGGTCAAGGGCATGTACCTTGGTTGCGGACATATCCCCAGTAGGGGGTGTGCAAGAGGCAGCTGATCGATGACTCTCTCTCTCGTCGATGTTTCTAACTATCTCTCTCCCTTCTTCTCTGTACAAAATCAATAAAATATATATATTTAAAAAAAAAAAAAAAAAAGTGCTAGCACCCTGGCTGGTTTAGCTCAGTGGATAGAGCATCGGCCTGCGGACTGAAGGGTCCCGGGCTCGATTCTGGTCAAGGGCATGTGCCTTGGTTGCGGGCACATTCCCGGTGGGGGGCTGCCGGAGGCAGCTGATGGATGCTCCTCTCTCATCAATGTTTCTAACTCTCTGCCCCCTCTCTTCCTCTCTGTAGAAATCAATAAAATATATATTTTTTTAATTTTAAATAAGTGCTAGCTAGTGTCTTATATACTAGGCATTTATACTGCAGTGGAAATAGAGACACAATTCCCGTTCTTGGGGAGCTCACACTGTAATTGGGAAGACAGAAAATAAATACATAGATAACGAGAGGACAGAGCAGTAAGTGCTATAAATAGCAAACACGGCAATGGCTTGAAGGGTGAGAGCGAGCTGTATCAGAATAGAATGATCTGGTCGAGCCGGCGTGGCTCAGTGGTTGAATGTCGACCTATGAACCAGGAGCCGTCAGGCCACATGCCCGGGTTGCAGGCTCCATCCCCAGTGTGGGGCGTGCAAGGAGGCAGCTGATGAATATTTCTGGTTTGGCTCAGTGGACAGGGTTTTGGCCTGCGGACTGAAAGGTCCCGGGTTTGATTCCAGTCAGAGGCACATACTCGGGCTATGGACTGGATCTCCAATGTGGGAAGTGCAAGAGGCAGCTGATCAATGATTCTCTTTCATCATTGATGTTTCTCTCTCTCTCTCTCTTTCTCTCCCTTTCTCTCTGAAATCAATAAAAACATATTTTAAGCCGGGACCGGTTTGGCTCAATGGATAGAGCGTCGGCTTGGAGACTAAAAGGTCCCAGGTTCCATTCCGGTCAAGGGCATGTACCTTGGTTGCAGGCATATC